CTTTGCTGTGGGAAATAGAAAAACCATTCATGGAAACTGTATGGAGAGAAGAAATGTTTTATTGTGCTGCAAAGAAGATTGTGATCATTGTTTTATTTCAAAATATAAGTATAATGCAGCATCAAAATTCAATTGGCAATCCAGGTTCCTTACAAACAAGGGGGATTTTAACACAAAGATGTCTAGTTGGACTTAGCTCTATGTGTAAGAATGATACTGTGTTCTGTGCTCATCATGCTCTGTTAAGAAATTTGATCTACAAGTGATAAAGATGCTGAAAGTGCTTTCCAGTGGGAGGAACACATAGCTTGCCTGTATTGTTATTAATTTCTGTGTCCCTGTTTTATTTCATGGAGGCAAGTAATAAACATGGAGTGTAACCATTCAGAACATCGAGAAGCTTCTAACCCGAGTCAGTTCTGCACTGGAATCAGATGGTGGTGTCCATAGTGTTGCACTGGGAGCACAGATTTGGGGAGGTGGGAGCTGGGGTTGCAGCTCTCCCTCGCTGCTGCCAGTGCTGTTCCTGTCACATGCTGCGGCTGCACAGTCCCCTGCTCGCACTGCAGCTGCCTCGCTGCCGTGTGCCACTCACATCTCCCCTCTCCTTGCATCACTTTTGTTCTGGTTTAGCTCTGTTGGCTTTAAATGGAGTTGTTGATGATCTGCTGCGGCACAGATGGATAATGGGAATTCATTGGATCATCTGGACATGTTACTTTGTTGGCTTATCTTTCATTCTGGGTGGTGTGCTTTGGGCAAGGGAGAGCTCTGCTGTGAAGGTCTGTTCTGGGGTGGTCTTACTGCCTAAAGAGCTGAAATGTAACTGATTTTAAACAAAAAACCTCCAGTGCCACCCCGCCAGCCTCCAAAGCACCCTACAGCTCTTGGAGTCTGACCATAACAACCTGGGTGTTGATGGCTTTTTTCACAGAACTTTTTGCAGTTCTCATTTTTTCATAAAAGTGTTCTGTTGGAGCAATCCTTGTAGAAGGAAAAGCAGGACCTGTACATGCAGGTTTTATGATAATTTTCCTTGGTGTCCTTGCATAAGAACATTCTGCAGGCTTGGCTTTTGTAGCTGACCTGCTCTCGTTTAGCACAAAAGCTCTGTTCTGGATATGTAGTTTTTAAACAGGCTGGAAACAGAGGTATGGAATGGGGTATGTGTTGCAGCAGGAGGAAACAGTTCAAAGGAGGGGGCCAAATTGTGTGTGGGAGCTGCACAGAGGGTCAAATTGAGGTCTGGTTCTGTAAAGTATGTAAGGAAGTTGCCAACACAAATATTACCTTGCAGTTTACATGTGCTGAGAGAACGCAGCACAGCCCTGCAGCAGGGCTGGAACAGAGTAACCATCAATCTGGATCCCCGAGGATGTCAGTCAGGAAAGGAAGTGTGTGGTGCCAGAAAGCCTGGATGGAACTGCAGGTTTAGAGGGCTCGTTGTTTGAAGTATTTTTAATTATTGCTATTAATATAATGGAACACAGACTGGAAGGTGAATTTTTTAGATATAATTAAAGCAGAAGTCAGCAGAGGGATTTCTCTGCTGTGAGGCAGAGGCACAGTCCAGCAGCGGTCCCTGCTCAGGAGGTTGAATTCCCAGAGTGATGATACTCTCCGTGCAATTCCCAACCTTGCTGGCAGCTCCTGCCAAACACTGGTTTGGAGGAAAGAAGTGAACTGAAGGGATCAGAAGGCTTTCCCAAGCTTGTCCAGCGTTCTCCTTTGTCGGAGTACGATTCCAGTTGGAAGGCAGCCATCGGCACCTTGGCCAAGGATGGGAACAGGCTGCAGAGTGTGGCGAGAGCTGCCCTCCAGCTCGGGCACTGGCCTCAGCTCCATCTGGGCCAGCCAGTAAATCACTGGCTCGCTGGAAAGGAGCCTCTCCGTCACGTTGCTGTACAATGCAGCTTGATGTTTGCTGTTCCATTTTGAATTATTGAATTAAATTCTTTGGTAGTGAATCAAAGAGTTAAACCATCAGTCGTTGGAGGAAAGAAAGAAAAAAAATCTTTCTTGCAACTGGGATGCTTTTCAGGAACTTGGCTGCTGGGGAGGCGAGAGGCATGTGCTTTTCCGCCCTGCTCTGGGTGATGGCTTAGTTCAAGGGGGCCCAGATTTGGCTCAGTCAACAGTTGTGTTGGCGTCTTGCCACCAAATGTGCATAAAATGGAGCTGACTGCAATTCCCTCCTCACTCCAACATGGAGGGGCAGCCGGAGGGACCCGAGGCCTGCGGTGCCGTGCCGTGGGTTGGCTGGGCTGTGGGGGTTACCCTGGGATGTGTGATCCCTGCAGCACGAGCTGTTGCACTGTGACTGGATCCTTGCTTTTGAGTCCCAGGCTTGTATTTTGGTCTCTTGTCATAACTAATGCATTTCAGACCTGCTTGTGCCTGTGCTCCCAAAATCTCTCTCCCTTCTCACAGAGGCTTACGTGCTTTTCCAGCTGTACGAGGTTCATCTCTCATTTGCAGACTCTCCCTATGGTTCTGTGGCTTATGTGCATTACCACAAAATCAAGATAAAGCGCAACTGGCATTTTAGCTGCTTCGAGAACATTGTGTGTAAATAAACCACTAAATAGTTCAGCCTGTGAAATGTAAATACACACAGCTCACTGCCACAGCTGATGGTGTTTTTCTGTCTCCCTTCTACCCTCCCACCCTGCCAAGAGTGGGCCAGCCTGATGTTCTTTTTTCTCTTGCTCTTTCATACAATGCAAATGACTGCTAAGTACCATGTAGGTGGTATGCAGGCACCACGACAGATTCATGATTTGAATTTGGATAAAAGGAAATACTTGCATCCTCTTCCACATTGCTTCTGCACCATCTTTTGGAGATTCCTGGGCTCTGATGACCCAGAAATTCTGCCTCGGTCTGACTTTGAGCTTGAGCCCGTTTTTAGTAGTGAACTGGTGAAGTCAGTAGAAGAGCAGAGGCCCAACTGTGATGACATTTTTAGCCTGTGCCCTTTGTTCATCCTATACACAAAAGGTCGTGAACTGCAGTGAAAAAGGGATCACGGAGGGCGCAGAATGGACAAAAGTGGAACAAATTACCAGTGGCAGAAACATAAAGAAGAGAAGCGAAAGTTTTGTGTTCTGAAGGTGATTGAAGAAGGCCACGTGCATCCCATGGTGAGATCATGTCTCTTGTATTCAAAGTGAGTCTGCCCAGAGTGAATTCAGAGTCTGCTGGTGAGGTGTGGCTTCCATGATCTCAGTGTAGGAGGCAGGAAGGGACCACACGGTTTCCATGGTGTGATGTTAATGAGCACCTCCGTGTTTCTCTGGGAGAAAAGATGCCAAAGCTGCAGTTCTGGTTACAGACAGGTGTGCTTTAAGCAATAAAGGGACTTTTAAAGACATGCGAAACAAACGAAAAGCCTGATTCTGTAGACAAAGCACTGAGACAGTGTTTGCAGATCTTCTCATCTTCGATATGCTGAGGAAGGAAATACACCTTCATGTGAAAGTGGTGAACTTTCGGTTTGCAGTAATGAAATGTGTGTAAGTTGTATGAGCCCTTTTCCTTGTGCATTCCGTGTGTGCCACAGAGCAGTGAGCAGAGCTGGGGCACAAACTGGGGCACTGCTTGTTCTCTGAGCTCGCCCTGGGCATCGCTGTCCCTTGGGACTGAGCCCTGCCAGAGCCCAGGTGTGGGCTCAGCCTGCTCCCAGATGCTTCCTGCAGCATCCAGCGAGCTGCTGGAAAAGGAGCTGGGTGCATCTGGGAGAGCTGCAGCCACTGCAGTGCAGACGTGCCCCGAGGTGAACAGTGTTTGGGATGAGGAATGTCCACGTTCGGTTCCAAATTTTACTAAAAACCTTAAAATAATAGAGAAATCCTTTTCCCCTGCCGTGTATTTTATGAAAAAATGGTTTGATGTATAACTGCTCATTGCCATTTCCTCTGGAGGCCTGACTCCAGCAGGCTGTGAGGTTGTTGGTGCGTGTCTGAGGGAATTGCTATTTATTTATCTCAGTGTTTCTTGGGTAGAACTGAGTGGTGTCTCAGGAACTTCAGGACAGTGGCTCTCAATGGAGAATTAGGTATTCTGACGAGAGGAGTGAATTTGGGCTCTAATGAATTTTGTGTTGTCTGAGGCTCTGTCAGGACTAGCACTCTGAGCAGATCACATGGAAACACACAGATGGTTTTCCCAAAACGTGCAGTATAGCTTTGAAAGAAAACACAAGACAAGTGTGCCAGTCTGTAGAAGAAAAGGAGAGGCAAATAGAGAGCCAAGGTATATATCCTGCTTGATGACAGTAAGATCAGCTGGTTTTTGGAAGAGATTTGAGAAGTGATGGTTCCAGGCTTTGGGTGTCAATGATGAAGAGCTTCATTTTATCTGTGTTGTTAATTTGCGGATAAGAAATAGATACCAGCTGGGTGTCTGGCTTTGTATCACGTCCCCTTTTGGCAGTGATGCTGTGGGAGATGTGTCAGGATGAAAAGTGGAAAAAGAGCTGGTCTCTGACTCAAGGTTTGACAGCTTTAAAATCCTGATAGACTGGAACGTGTTTTCCACCATTGGTTTCTGTGGGGAGCAGTTCTTAGTTTGGGGAGAATCCTGTATCAACAAGATGTACAAAGTGTGTTTGGTTTTGGTTTTTAGTATCTCTAAGTGAGGAGTGGGAAGCATTTGAAAACCAGTCAAGATCCCACAGCTGAGCAGAAGTAATGGCTTAAAAAGAGGCAGGTGAATTGTACAAGTGCTCTGTCAAGAGGTCAAGGTGCCACGTCCAGCCAACTCTGCTGTGCAGCTCTGGAAAACTGCTCCTGGTTCTGCCTGTCTTCACTTTTATATAGAGCTTGTACCCTGCTGACATCTGCCTGAGCACTGTGCCCTACAGTCACACCGAATCCTCAGTGCCCCGAGGTTTTATTTGCTTGTACGTGTCAGGTGTGAAGTTATGACCCCCCTCTTCTCCCAGGCAGCTCAGTGGTGGGTTACAGTGATCCTGGCTCCCTAATAAATCTAAGAGGATGTGCCTGTAATACACTGATTTAACTATCCATGCTGGACTTGCACTGTCAGCTTGATTTTCCTGAACCAGAGGGTTCCTTCACCGCTCCCGAAGCCTGCCTTGCTTTGCAGGCCTGATCCTGGGGTAGGGCCAGTGGGGAGTGCATACCATTGACTTCAGTGCTTTTTCCCTTCCAGCTAAGCCTGGAAAACCTTAGCCAAAAGACTGCAAACCACAGGGAAGTGGAGAGTGTGTGATGTAAGTGACATCTGACTTTAAAAACACTGGCCAGCACCATGAAACCTCCATCCTGTCCCGTGCCCTCCTCCTGCTGCCCTTCGGCTCCAGCTGCCTTGGGCAGTCCTGCCATCCCCTGTGATGTCTCTGAAGCTCTGCTACCCAGAGTGCTGCAACGGGGTGAATTTGTAAAATGTATTAATGCATTGCACTTAGCAAACCTGGAATCTTGTGTTCTGAGAGTGTGTTGGAAGAACCTGGCACGCCAAGTGCGGGGCTTGGATAGCACAGTTTTTCTGCCTTGTATGGCCTGAGGAGTTGTTAAAATCTTTGAGAGAATAATAAGTTCTGCTGGAATTCACCATTTTCTGACTTAAAGTCTTTTAAACCAATGTTTCAGTGTCTCCTTTTGCAGACTCTGGAGATAATTTTTTTTAACATGTGCTACTTAAGAAAAATTGTCATGCAAAACAGCTGAACAGTTTCTTTTGCATGAAAAAAGCAAAAAGCTTCAAACACAGAACAAAAAATAAAGTAGGTGATATTCTGGGTATGACTGGGCTGTCAGAACTGGGAGAACTGTCCCTTTTGCAGACGAGGAGCACAGATCCATGGGGATAACTTCAAGTATCAAAGGGAAGGAGAGGTCCATGTGGTTGTACTCCTGGCTGCATTTTATTTATATTGTTCATTTGGAGCTGAGCAGTCCCTGAGGAAAGGGCGATGTCAGGAGCTATATTCCTCCCTTTGCTGTGCCCACTTGCTGTTCTAATAATAATTCTCCCTCCTGTCTGTGCTGCTGCTGCATTACAACACAGTCCTTAGTGCAGGGAGCACCTCCTCCTCTCCCGAGCTGCTCCTGATAGTGGCTCTTCCTTTGTACACCACCTAATACCACCCCCTCCGGAGCATGATAAGCCAAAACCAGTGCATGAGATACCTAATTTTATTTTCCTTCTCTGTCAGCTGGAAAAGCCAGTTTTGCCTATTTTTCCTGCCTTCTGATACCTTTCAGATTTGCAGGCTATGGATTTTCTAGTGTGTCTTCTGTTGATTGCATAAATGGCCTCTTCACAGTGGGTCTGGTGGACCTCCTCCACGTGCAAACTGCTTGGTTTAAAAAAAACAACAGAACCCAAGTTGGTTTTCCTTGCCTGTGTCAGGGCTGACACTCGTTCTGTTGGCCAGCGTTAGCAGCGGTTGGGGACGTTGGGGAGTATAACTTAAGGGTAACATAAAATCTGCTTTGCCATGAGATTAAAGGACAGATACACAGACTGTATGAAACATGCTTTGCCATTTAAGCAAGCTCCTGAATTTTTGCAAATGTGTCTGAAGCTGCTCTGGAGTGCCTGGATTACCACGCGGAGTGCGCAGAACCCACGGCCTCGCCGCAGGATTTAGGTCACCCTTGCTGCGGAGCACACGGGTCCCGGGGTATTGTCCTCTTCCTGGAATTCCCGAATCACCTCCTGGCTACTTCTGACATCTGGTTTTTAGGTCTCGCTGTTCACTTCCATCTCATTCGTTGGTGCTTTGAGTGCTCGGTGTTTGTTCTGTGCTGTGTGAATGTTCGCGGGTTTTGGACACGGGCTCGTGGTTTGCAATGTTTGTGTCCTGCTTGCCTGGCTCGTGCCAAAGCTTGTGACATCTGGGTGGTGTGTTTTGGACTCTGCCGCCCATATTGCAGTTACCTGACAATACAGAGATACTTCCTACCTTTTTCTGGAGCTCCTTGACAATTGGTTTGTGCAGTGTCCCCCTGGCCTTGCCCTGGTGCTCTGGCTGTCATGTGGGTGTGTAAAAACAAATGGATGGGTGCTGCATCTTGTCCAAACTGGGAAATCAGGAGACTGCTTGGTTGGCAGGATGGCTCCCTAATTTATCCCAAAAGCTGGGGGGAAACTAACAATTTCTCCTCCCTTTGATAGGCATGAAGTGTTTGTTCAGGGAAGTATTTCTGAAGCCTCTTCGATTATTGGGAAGGTTTTTTGTGACAATTGCTGAAAGATGCTTCTGGGTACTTCCCAATGGGTGGAAGGAGTTAGCTTTGCCATTTCCTGGCTTCAGTTGGGATATGTAGGTAATTATTTGTGCAAATGGTATCCAAACTGAGTTGCTGTGCAAAGGGAAACTTGTTGCTTAAAAAAGCACCCACTAGAACTGCCAGAGAAGCTGCTGAAAGGAAAAGCTCTTGCATGTGCCCAGCTAGAGGTGTGTTTATCTTGCACTGAAATCCTGAGCACAGGAGAGCTGAAGACCTGGCAGCCATTTCCAGAGGAGATGTTTTGTTGCTGCTGCTGTGAAATCTGTAGCTCATCTTTGGATGCTCAGAAGGGTAATTTGAGATCTGTATGTTTGGAGTAAGATTTTAAACACCACTCTGCCTCTATAGGCTTTCCTATTCCCTTAATTACTCAGTACTAGGATTATCTACATTATATCTTAGTTTTTTGTTCAGATGATTATTGTACAATATGATGTTTTGCTCATATGAACAGTATAAATATATCTGCAGGTATAATTGTGGGCAGTGCAAGCCATGGAATTAAACAGTCTTGAGGAAGCAGAGAGGAAGGAGAGGGCATTTTTTAGCATTCTGTCTAAATGTTTGCTATGTTTTAGCAATAGGAACTAGTGAGCTACAGTTTTCAGCAGTTATAAAAGAAAATGAAATGATAAGAGAACTGAGGCTGGTCTCTCTAAATGTGGGTGCGGGATAAACACCTCTGCAGAAGGCAAATTTGGAGAGGATTTCTTTGTCCAAGCTGAAACCCAAGTGCTGTTTGTGCTACAGTCCTTTTGTTGGCAGTTTTGTGTTTGTGAAAAGGGTCCTCAGAGTTATTTTATTTTATGACTCTTGTACCACTGTTATTTTTAATTTTGCTCTGTTAACTAGTGCATTGTGCAATAATTACTCCCCTGCTTTGATTCTCAGCCATTATTTTTAATGAGTCTTGAGAAGAGAAACCTGTGGGAGAACTGCATGCTCTGTGTTACATCCCCATGGAACTGAACGTGCATCTCATCTGGATGAGTTCACAGCAGCCCTCGATTTTTGAGTAACATGGATATTTTCTTCTTCATAGGATTGAGTTTGCTCTAAAAGAAATCATGTCATCAGGAGGAGCTGAAGATGATATTCCTCAAGCAGAGAGGAAAACAGTGACAGACTTTTGCTACTTATTGGATAAGTCTAAACAGCTCTTCAATGGCTTAAGGTTAGTGCATCTTTGACAGTATTCTTCCAGAAGAGCCTTGGAACACACACTTCAGTATGTGATGCTGAAGTCAGTTGTACAATGAACATTTTGTACTCAAACCCAGTAAGTTTGTTTAGGAGAGAACAATGCATCTGTGTATGGGTAGTTTGGGACCATGTGTAAGAATGTCTGTAGGAGTAGAGGTTCCAGTTAATAGTAAACTAGGAGTTGGAAATGCCCTGAAATGGATAGAATTTGTACTGAAATGTTGTGTATGAAGTGCACAATGAAGGACTAGGTGTGGCTGTGTACAATCAACAGCATGCAAGTCCAAACCACCACAGTCTCTGTGCCAAGAGAAAAGGGATGAGGAGGATTGGCTTAGCTGGGAGGAAAGGAGAAGATGGAATATTTTTTGGGAAGAAATCTAGGATGTGATGAACAGAAACATTCAAACCATACCCTGTATGTGTCTGGTGAAAGAAATGCTTAAACTGAACTGTGGAGAAAGGTAAAAGCTACATTTATCTACAAAGGATTTCTCACAACAACTAGAAAGTCTGGCTGGTTTGTCTGCAGGCAAAAAAGAGTAAAGGGAGTTCAAGGAAAGTCGTTCAGGTTTGGACAGTGATGTAGACATCTTGTTTTGTCAATATATGCTGAGTTAAACATTATGTATTTGGGAACTGGTTTATTTCTAAGCTTTGCTGTAGAGTCTCTTAAGCAACATGAGTTTGAGCTCGTATCTGGTTGGCAGTGCAGCCTCTTACTGGTCTCTGAGTAATCCTGTATGTTTGGGCCCATATAGCTTGCTGTTAGTCAAACACAGATGGTTAGCAAAGATGTTTTTAATTCCTCCGCCCCCCGCTATTGATAATCCTTTCATGTGCTTTAGGAGTTGATTACCAAATCCAAAACAAACAGTTTGTGCTCCAAAATCTGAATGGTGAATGGGCAGTAGAGACAAGGAGTGATTGCATTCAACACCCCGTGAAAGAGAGTCTAAAGCAAAAGGACTGAGATCTTGAGGCCAGGATTTCCAGGACCATATATGACATTACACTGGCTTTCTGATATTCCTTTGTACTCTTCAGTGACTCAGGCCAAAATTTCAAGCAAGCTCCATCCCAGAATCACAGAATATTCCGAGTTGGAATGGATGCACAAGGATCATCGATGATAGAGCTTGCTTGAAATTTTGGCCTGAGTCCCTGAGGAGTACAAATGAATCCAGTTCATGTGTGCCTGTGTGTTGCTCAGTTCAGATCAGAGAGGTGGCAGAGTACCTCCAGCCACCTCCAGCCTGTCTGTCTCTTCTCTGAGCATGGAAGGAGTTAGTGCTCATATCAGATTTCCAGATGAGAGATGTAGTTTCTGTGTATATCTGTGATACTTTGCCAAAAAGAAAGCTTCTCGTCCAGCTAGATGAAAAGAAAATGGAAAATACCTTTGGATGAAATATGGTCAATAAAAATAGAGAGATGGCCTTCAGCAGCCAGTTCTGCTGTCTGAAAATAAGAACATTCTCGAATGGGAGCCTGCCTCTGTCCTTACTGTAACCTGGCACAGTTAATGTTCTTCCTGTGCTGAACTTGATCACCATTTCACCTTTAAGACCTGTGATTGCCAAGGGCATAATGACTGGATAAAGCAACATTATAATTCTCAGGTATCTCATCTGTTAGTGCTTGTTCTCTGGGGAGTTCACCTGAAAATAACTTGGCAAGCATCCCAATTCTCAGTCCGGTTGCTTGCTTTTCCCTCCAGCATAATAAATGCATCTGATACATTTCTGCCACCTTCTGTTTTGAAGATGATGATGGCCTTTGCTGCTGTGTTTTATGCCATTCTCTTGTCCCTACCACATTTTGTGGAAAAGAAGTGGCGGGGGAGGGAGAGGAGAGCAATGATTTCCTTCCCAAAACCTCCTCTGGGCACTTCAGCTACAGGGAGCTGAGCCTATGGCTGTGTTGGCAGCTGCTTAGCTGTTGCTGCTGCCAAAAATTGCAAGGGCTCAGCCTGCCACGTCTTTGTTTCAGTAGCATTTCCTTCCTCTCTTCCCAATACAGATGCCAAATACAGCATTTGAGGAAAACATATGATGGTCTGCCAAGGTTGCTGCTCGAAAGTGTACTTTGTGCTCGTGCTCCTGGTGGTACCATCTCCAGTGGCCATGCCTGGGGGACTGCAGAGGGGACATTGTCTGTACCCTGGGCTATAAGTTAGGAAAAACTGCTAGTGAAGTATGTTCCAATGGCTCTCTTTTCTGCTTTCCCCACTCCCACTTGCTTTTTTCTTGGAAAAAGGCTGGAAAGAGGGAGGGTGTTAAGAAGCAGTTTTTCACGGTGTCCTGTCACTGGTATTATTTTCTTTTTAATGTTAAAAAGTGCTTAAATGTGTTCAGTATCACAGAGGAGCTTGAAATTTTAAGAAATTAAAAGACTTTTCACAACCACATTTTAGGGAGGTGATCATCCCCTGTACTGGGCACTGCTGAGGCACCTCGAGTCCTTTGTCCAGTTCTGGCCCCTCACTGCAATTCCAAGAAGGACATTTAGGTGCTGGAGCGTGTCCAGAGAAGGGAACAGAGCTGGGGAAGGGTTTAGAGAGGAGCAGCTGAGGGAGCTGGGGGGGCTCAGCCTGGAGAAAAGGAGGCTCAGGGGAGACCTTCTGGCTCTGCAACTCCCTGACAGGAGGGGGGAGCTGGGGGGGGTCGGGCTCTGCTCCCAGGGAACAAGGGACAGGAGGAGAGGGAACGGCCTCCAGCTGTGGCAGGGGAGGTTCAGGTTGGACATCAAGAAGAATTTCTCCATAGAAAGGGTGGTCAGGCCTTGGCAGGGGCTGCCCAGGGAGCTGGTGGAGTCCCCATCCCTGGAGGTGTCCATGGAAGGACTGGAGGTGGCACTCAGTGCTCTGGGCTGGGGGACAAGGTGAGGATCGGGCACAGGTTGGACTCGATGATCTCAGAGCTCTTTTCCAACCTTAATGATTGTGGGATTCACGGTTACAGTGTGGATTTTGTAGCACCAGGTATTTCGTGGATTTCTAGTAAGGTGCAAGTGTGGAACCTTAGTTTTGTTCCACGCTGCTGCTGCTTTAGAAACAGCAGGAGCCTCTTTAGCCTCAGGCAGTGCTGCAGCTGTACCTGCTGTGGTCCTGGGAAGGGAGTGGCTTCTCCCACCCCCCGCACTGCTGTGGCAGGGTATGGGGAGTGCCCTGGTGTGGTCGTGCCTTTGTGGGTTATTAGAGTTTGTGGGGAAGCTACACCACTGTTATCCTGCTGCTGCTCAGTTCTGGGAACAGGAGCTTGTAATTACTACAAGCCCATGAACATAAAAGGAAATTGTCTTTTTTATCACCTGTCAAAACTGTGAATGTATTTAAAGCTTTGAATATTAAACTTGCAGTTATTGTAACCTCCCTCTTTGAAGCATACTGCTGAGTCCCCAGGACTTTCTCAACTTCTTTACATCTCTAGAAGTTGTCCCTGTGTGACAACTTCCACGTGGTGCTGGCCAAGCACACCTCAGCACCTTTAATTGGGTTTCAGCCAGTATTATCTGGCTTCTGCCAGCAGCATGGCTGGAATGAACTACTGACAGAGAATTAATTATGAGCACATAAGTAGTGCTGGTTTTTGCTGAGACCAGGAGTACAGCAAGAATTCGATAAAATTCTGGACTGTCTGTGGAATTTATCCACCAGCCACTCTACTGCAGCGAGGGAACCAGTTTTCCCAATGTGGGAAACCCATCCTTTTAGAGCATCTGAGTTTGTGTCTTCATGTCCTGTATGGAATGTCTTAAAAGCCAAGAAACTGGAAGCGGTTTCCACTTGTTGGAGGCTATTGTACTGTCCTAAATCAAGACATCTCCACTCCCTCCTCTGCATCTGGATTCCTTTGGCTGTCCCTTCCTCCCTCCTGCAGTGGTGTCCAGCCTGAGTGTGTGCCCCAGCACTGCCTGTTCTGAACCAGCAGCCTGGGCTGGGCACACTCCGCAGGAGCCTGAGCCTGCTGTCTTTGTCTCTCCATAGTGTTCTGGTGTCCTGCTGTAGATCTGGAAGCAGTGAAATAAAGACCCACAATATAGGCCTTTATAGTTCTGAAGTTGGGTGTATGATTGCTTCTGGGTCATGTATTCCCTGTCTCCATCGGGGAGAGGATCTGTGTTAATAACCCACTCTGCAGTCGAGCCAGGCTTTAGGGTTCTTTTGAGGTGTTTCTCCTCTGGCCCTATTAAAAAACCTGCACTATATGTCCTCTTTTGCCTATGCATCTGTTTTCTCCCAGCCAAATTTCTTGGTGCATGGGAGCGACGTGTGATGTTGAGCACACAGAGCAGTAAATGGATGGCAGGAAGGGCAGCTCCTGTCTGCGAGGAGCTGTGGTGAAACCACGGTAATGTATTGTCATAAATGAAGTTTTATTACAGCCATGTCAGAATACTATCAAAAGAACAAGTGCTACTGTCTGTTTCCATGGAGATCTTTCCCGTTCCCTGGGGAGCCGAGGAATCCGTGGCATTGTGCAGCTATGCCAGCTGCAATTAGGCGAGCAGGCTGCTGAGGAATATCCGTGTGGACACCCAGCAGTGCCTGTGGACAGCAGTGGCCAAACACATGGACACTGTGCTAACAGAGCCTTCTTAAAATGACACTAATTTTCAGATACTCGGATCTAGCACAGCACAGTGAGTTGGGCTGGGCTTTACAAGAATGTTTAGGCTGGGAGGAAGGTATGGAATTGAGGTGACAGGTGAGGGATAGAGAGTGTATTAATTATCTGACTGATGAGGGATAGATGCATGAGCATGGTCAGAACATAGTTACCTGCTTATTTCTTAATGGCTGCACATACCTACTTCTCAGTGTCTGAGAGGAGGGCATTTTCTTGTTCCCATGTGTTAGACCTTTGCTCAAATGTCCTGAGCAACTTGGCCTGGAAAGCTCAATTTACTACCAGTAGAGTTCTTTGAGTCAGCTCCCTAATTCAGTCATTCTGTAAGTTAGTGCTGGGGAACTGCTGATTTGTATAATTTTTTTTTAAATGGTCCATTTTAGCGTTGTTCTGTATTTGTATTCACTTTTTATTTTTGCTTTTTAACATAGAATCTTGTGGGTGTGCTAATTAAGTTAAAGCTACCTCTTGCTATATCAAAGCCTCCAGTGTGTCTTGGGCATTTGTTGGACAGTGCCTTAACTTCTTTTGTTTATCTAAAATGTTTACATCTATTACAACAAGAGAAAGTGGTGCATCATTCCTTGCAGTAAATGCTTTAAATTTGCCTGTGTATCAGGCTGTATCTGGATGATGCTGGTGCCCTGAAGTGTGTGTTTGTATTCCTGTTCACCCTTTGCTACACCAGTGTATGTGCCAGGATGTTGAGCAACCAATTGCAAGTTTGAGGGGTTTTTTTTGGTTTTTTTTTAAATTTGGTAAAATCCTGCACAATTTCCTTGGCATCTTCCAGTACCTGGAATGTTTTTCCAGGCTGGTAACAGATTAATTTTACATGTAGTAGCTACACTAGGTCCCTTCAAGCTGTGTGGGAAGTACAGTTGGCTGACGAGCAAAGGAATATTAATTTCCTTTCCTACCTTGGGTGCTGTTACAGCAATTACAATGAGCAGAAACATGCCAGAATGCTCTGAAATCGTGTGTGCTGCTCTGCTTCTCTGACTCCTTCAGAGGACATGGCAAGGTTTCCTAAAGGTGGTGGTTCCCTCGGTCTCCACCCTCCAGGCTTGGAAGTGGAATGTGCTGCTTTTCTGTGCCCGTGTGCTGAGGGTGGTACATTAACCAGCACAGTGATTTGAGAGAGCATTCCCTGGAGAAATCAGTCTTGAATCAAATGAAAGATTATGCTGTCTTGGAAAAGCTATTCCACTTCTACTTGTAGAGTTGTGCACCTTCTTTGAATCAGCTTCAGTGTATATTTGTAGGGAAGATGTGCTCAGTGAGACTGAGGGGTTTGGTGTCCTCTGTTGCACTTGTTCCAAGATTCAAGTCCCTCTCAGCTGACAACCCTCTGTGAGGATCGAGAGCACAAACCTTTAAAGCCAAAATCCTTAGGAATACATCATAGTTGTGGAGTGGAAACACACCACGGCATGGAAATCCAGTGGAGATATGAAAGCAGAGCTGAACTGGGTTGGCTAATTCACAGCACTGGAGACTGGTATGAAAACACCAGAAAGTCTCATGTTGTGACATGTCACTAACTATGAGTTAGAGGGTGACAAATATTGTGGTGGTGATGTAATGTGACCTGGCGAGTGTTTGCTGTGAACATCCATGTGCTGGCCTGACCTGCTGGCATTTGGACAGTGGATTTGTTGGTGATGTTATAAGCTCTGTTTCTGAAACACAGCAAACAGCCTCATCCATTTAAAAAAGATTATTTCCTTAATGAGTTGCAAGAAATATTATGATGATGCACAAGTCTAAATGAACTAATTTCCATTAGATTATTCTGCTTGCTCTTGGGTGAGGTTTTTTTTTTTACTGTGGTATTTTAAGAGTCCAATTTAGCTTTCTGTACATATAACCATAAAATTACTTCTCTTTTAGAAAGACTGTAAGATGTTTTAGATCCCCTGTGGCATGTAGGAACATGGTTGTTTCCTATTTGGAGTGATCCAGTAACAACAGGTTCTGAGAAACTCCAGGAATCATGGTTCTTGTAGTTTTGGGTGCAGGCAGAATTCTAAAGTGCTGCAAGTCAATCCTGAACAAAGCTGCTGTGACTTGGGCACAAACAGGCTGCTGTCACATTGGGCTGGCTGGAACGTGCTCCCTGACTCTGCCTTTGTCACTGTCTCTTGCAGGGATTTACCTCAGTACGGGCAGAAGCAGTGGCAGTCCTATTTTGGGCGAACGTTTGATGTTTACACCAAACTCTGGAAGTTCCAACAGCAGCATCGGTAAGGGAATGTTGTAGGCAGATGAATTGTGTGGGTTTCAGCACAGCTTTAATCTCTGGCATGCCCAGGGCCCCAGCTAAGATTGAGATTTCACTGTGTTGTTCAAGCATGAAGGGAGGGAACAGCCGCTTCCTGCAGTGCCCACAGTCTAATGAATTAAAATGTTGCAGAGTTTTCAGTGTGACTTTTTTAACAAACCCTTTTGCTCTACCTGAATGTGTGGTGCTGTAATGTCTTACTGAGGAGGTGATGGATTCTGCAGAGCAGAACCCATCTGGAATGGTGTGAAGCCTCTTGCTGCAGCGTGGGCTCTGATCCTTCACACCTTCCTCTGGCTGCGCAGTCTGAGCGTTCTCCCGGGAAGTTGTGACCTTTTGTTGTGTGTATTTTGTGCATCACACTTTTGTCTGGTTCTCGCAAGTTAATGCAAGATAAACGGGCCTTGTTCTGGGGGGTTTTGTGCTGTGCTGTTGGCTCTGTAGGGGCTGCTGCTGGGAATGCTGCACCAGGAACCAGAGCTGAATTTGGCCCTGCAATGGCTCTTTGTCTTGTCTGGTGGGATGTTCTGGGAAGTTCGGGAATGCCTTTTAATCTTTCTTTTCTCTCTTGCAAAATAGACAAGTATTGGACAATCGGTATGGGTTGAAGAGGTGGCAAATTGGGGAAATTGCTTCCAAGATTGGGCAGCTCTATTACCATTATTAGTAAGTAAGCACAGAAGAGGATTCGGTGGGGAATGCAGGGTTAGTGCAGTTCCCTGCCAAATGTCTGGATGCTCAGTCAGGAGGAATCAGTGACTGGGCTGAGTCACGATGCCTGTTTCTGAATGAGGGCCCTGGGGACTGCATGGGGCTGCAGGGAAAGGTACCTGTGAGCCTGGTACCACATTGCTGGTCACACTGATGCTGCCTGAGGACTTATCTCCTGCCACCAAAGTGTCTTCCATGCCTGCTGCATCGGACTGTCCTGCAAAAGTGTGATTTACAAGTTTGGGAGCTTAGTGTTCCTTTAAACTTTCCACTGAAGCCATCACCTGTCCATATGGGTGCAAGATGGGCAGCTTTGATTGTTATCTGAAATGGCATCCAAGCTCTGAAATCTGGCTTCCCAAAATGAGAGTCTGCCTTCCATATGATGTTACTTGAGGAAGGAGTTTTGCTGTGGATGCACAAGCGGGTTGAGGGGGCAGGAAGGGAGGGTTTGGCTTGGATTTCCATCTGAGGCAGGGAGCTAATCTGATTCTTCCTCTGCAGCCTGCGCACCTCAGAAACCAGCTATCTCAATGAGGCTTTCTCCTTCTACTCAGCAATTAGGCAGAGGTCATACTACTCCCAAGTCAACAAAGAGGACAGGTACGTCTGAATGGATGCCCTTGTTTTTTCAAGGCTAGAATAGTGCATGGAAGCAGCAAAGAGCTATAAACTGTGAGGTTTGAAGAGCCAACCATGATATCTGACCCCCATGCCTTTCTCACAGAAGGAGACTGTGGAGAAGGGGGAGGCTGTGGCTTTCTTAGATATTTTTTATGTCCCTGTACCCAATTTTAAAGAAACCTCTAAGCAGCCAGGGAGCTATTGATCACGAGTTCAGTCAGAACTCTTAATCTGCAAGTGTTCAGCCTTGCTCTGTTCTCAAACTCCTCCTCTCTTTTACCCCTGGTACCCACCTCTGTTCTATTTTATTCTCAAATTTGGCCGTCGTGTTTTTGTTGTTGTGTTTAGGCCTGAACTGGTCGTTAAGAAGCTGCGTTACTATGCAAGGTTCATAGTGGTTTGTCTCTTGCTCAACAAAATGGATGTTGTAAAGGACCTTGTAAAGGTACGTTAAAATAAGGTTAAAGGTGCTGAGGGGTGGGAGGTTGCTGATCCTCACTTTTCTAGTCTATCTGACATCCCACATAGCGAACATCTCCTGTGATTCAGACATTTAGTAATGACACTTTAAGCTCAAATGATTTGACAGCGTCGTTTGAACACGAAGTAAAAATATTCCAATAGCTGCAGCCTAGACAGGGAGGTGCCCTGTAACTGCAGCAAAGGAACACCAAGCTGCTCCCCACAGCATATGCTTCCCAGCCCCTCCGACAACCTCGCTGCAAGCAGCTCCTGGTCTTGACAGTTTTGTGTAGGTTGCATTGCTGTCTCTGTGTCTGAGCTCCCTTGAACTGCTAGCTTAGCTTAGCAGCAGCTGAAACAGCCACACCATTCCCTTTCTCAATGTATTTAAAGTCACTTGTAAGCTGAAATTTGAGTCCTTGGCATCCATAGCTTATGGTAATAACCAGTGACAGAGCTGCTTGTGAGTGGGATAGTTAACTCCAGATATTCTTTGCGTTTGGACCTACTTAAAAGACAATTTGCATTGCCAAAACCGAGTGCAACGTTGGCATTCTGTCTGCTGAAAGAGCGCGTTTTGGCTGGCATGTTAGTCAGAAGTGTGCTGCATATGTTCTCAAGGAATTTATTTGTTATTCTTAAAGGCCAGCTCAGCTAACCAAATGTAAAGTTACTGCCTGCCTGTTAGACTGTTGGTTTAAGAAGTGACTGTGTCTGTCTTTCAACTGTCTGCATCAGGAACTGTCAGATGAAATTGAGGACTACACTCACCGCTTTAACACTGAAGATCAGGTGGAGTGGAACCTGGTTCTTCAGGAAGTGGCAGCATTTATTGAGGTGAGAATACCATTTCCTTAGAGTTGTTTATTCAAAAGTAAGATTTTCTGTCTTGTTCACCGAAGTGGTGCTGTATCACCCCCTCTGAGGGAAGCAGGGGCAGGGACAGTGTGCCTGTCCCATTTACTCACTGGTGTGTTCATGCCACAGCCCTTAACAGGAGTATTTCAGTATTGCCAGAAGGGGTGGCAGCATTACCATTCACTCACCTCCTTTGCTCTTCATTTCTAGGAAGGCAGACTAAAATAGGGCAGAGTTATTCTGAATGAAGGAATATTTAGTTTATTCTGTGTGAATTTGTAAGGTTGTTGATGCTGTTTGAGTCCTCAGGTACAGAGAAGCTGAAGCAGAGTCCATGTCATTGGAGGCAGTGTGCTTGTCTCTTTGCTGTGCTTTCATGTGCTTGTACCATGTATTTTTGCAGTCCCTGAGAACTTTGCCTTTCCATGGGGGAAGGCATTACCCTGTAGCCTGCATGCAAATATACAAATATGTGTACAGCAAAGTAATTTAGAAAATCTGCCTCAGTTATGAAATGTTCTGTAAGTGACGAGACCTTTGGACTTTTCTCTGACTGCAGATTGTGTGTTTTCTGAATTCCTGATTTATTCTGGTTGCTTTTTTTAGGCAGACCCTGTCATGGTTTTAAATGATGACAACACCATAGTAATCACCTCTAACAGGCTTTCTGAGACGGGAGCTCCGTTGCTGGAGCAGGGGATGATAGTGGGACAGCTTGCTCTTGCAGATGCACTCATTATTGGGAACTGCAACAACCAGGTAAAAGAAATTCTGGAGGCTTGGGTTTACATCTTTGGAGTTCCCCCTTGGCAACCTTTCTGATCATACAACAGCAAATCCAATGGAGGAGAACTTTAAAATATTTTTATTGTGATGTTTGCAATGGCATCAAGAAGAAGAGGTTCTCAGAAATAGGAGCTAAAAACGAAGTGTGAGATATTAGACCTGTGGTACTGACCTCTTACTGCTTATATTCATCATGTCAATTAAGGTGATGCAATTGATTTTCATATATTGGATTGTTCTTAACAGTCAGGCATGAGAGACCTTTGAGATATATCTTGAAAAAGCTTGACTTAACCTTTCACGTGACATACTCCGGTTTGTTGCAACTTCAGTGGCAACAGGAAGAGGTTTTCTAAAGACATTCAAAGTCTTTTTTTTACATGATGATAGTGAGGTTGTACAAACTTCATGACTTCTCTCTGAGCTCTTTTTTCAGGTAAGCAAGGGAGTTACATCTAAACTGCACTTTGTGTATCTTTATCAGATTTTGTCTGAATTTATAGTCCACAGCCATTTCAGCCCTTGATTTGTAAGCAGCCTGGAAAAGTCTGTAATTTGGAAGCAGGGGTCTGCACTGCAGTGACCTGTCCAGATAGACCAGTTACAAGTAGACTTTGTCCTCAGTGAGCTTTTCCACAAGTCCTTCACAGCTCTTTAGAGATTCAAAGAGGGCACTGGCAGATCCCTGAGAAAGAGAGAATGGTCTGTCTGCTATGCAGTGGAGTCTCTTACCTGGCTGATTCCAGAGAAATGCTGTTTACTGTGTACCTGTCAGAATAACCTGTTTGACTCTCCTGCAGGTCAAGTTCAGTGAGTTGACAGTGGACATGTTCCGCATGCTGCAAGCGCTGGAGAGGGAACCCATGAACTTGGCATCACAGATGAACAAACCTGGAATGCAGGTCAGTTCCACTCCAGTGACAAACCTGGCAGCAGATCTTAACTGGGTCTTTCGTTTGCTTTATTTTAAATAGTTACTCCTTCAGTATTTCACTGTGCAGAGCAGGTTAGTAAAGATGGTGTAACCTACTGGAAGTTAGTGAAGAGCAGCTCAAACCTGGACTCACCAGGTTGCTAAGTCATCTGAAAGTTAATATCCCCTGTGAGAAAGCATAAAAATATTTTATCTGGAGCATAAGGAAATACGAAGAATTTAATTTATTTATTTGAGATGAAGAGTGAATTTTGTCACTCTTTTCTTGGACGATGCTTTAGAGAGTAAGAAAGATTTAGGTAACAAGTTTAAATGGGGCATACTACAAAGTTGTAGTATCAAATATTGTGCATCTTGCTTTACTGTGTAACAGGAAATGCACCATGGGCAGACCATTTGTGTAGGAAGTGTGTTGGACATCAACATTCTATTAAGTAGAAATTTAGAGGGTTTTGAAACTGCTTTGATAATATCTGGGTTTGGGGGTTTTTTGAGTAGTGTTTTTGTTTGTTTGTTTTAACAGGAATCGACAGAGAAACCAGCAAGGCGGGAAAACCCCCATAAATATCTCCTTTATAAACCAACTTTTAGCCAGCTATATACATTTTTAGCAGCATCATTTAAGGTTTGTGGAATTGGTGAATTTATTTGTAAGAAAAATATCCAGGATAGTTTGTGACATGGAATAAAATGTGGATCTGCACCAGTCTGGAGAACAGAAAAATCTTAAAAGTGTTCTTTTACTTCATGTCATGCCAAACATAATCCAAAATCAGGGAAGTACCTCAGGAAATGGTTGCTCTTCAGCACTGTATAGCTGCTAAATCTCCAGTCCTGTATCCCATTCAAATTGTATCCTGCACAAGCTGTAGTTTTATCTGCCTGTCTTATTTTCTTACCCCCTGCTCTCCTCCAAGCCAGTCATCTCTACATTTGTAAATTTTTTTAATTTATTTTAATTTATCGAAGTTGCTGGGCTCATTATGCTTAATGCTAACTGTACAAGTCCACAACTTAGGATTTAGTAGTAAAACCAAAACATGAATCCTATAAAGAAACAAGTTTCAGTTTGTCTCAAGGAACAGCTGGTGAGGTGCAGGAAGTGCATCCTTACTTCTTAGAATTTTGTGTGCCTGCATGCTCAGCCTTTGGCAGAAATTGAAAGTATCTGTTCCCTCATGCAAACAGCCCATTAGAAAGGTGGAAAATAGATTTCTTTTACAGGTCTCTACAGAAACCTGGATGTGTTGTGCTTGTTGGCCAGCTGAGAAGGGCCGAGGGGAAGAGACAGATGTTGCAAACTCTGGGGGATTTGGAAACAAACCCTCCTTTGTGAATTGTTTGGGAGTTAGGGTCTGTATGGATCTTGGCAGCTTTTAATTTCCATATCTTGGAAAGCCTTAGATCTGGCTAGATAGTAAGAGAGTCTCTGTGGAAGCAGATGCTTTTTCAGTGCAACTTGGACCTCTGATATCAGCCTAGAGCTCTGTGTGGAGAAAAGACACATCATCAGGTGACCCTTTGGTCTGTGTCCTGCCCTGGTGGGCAGAAGTAGCACAATGATAATGACAATGTATTTATGAAGGTGATGATTGAATATTAAAATAAACTTGACCTTTATCCCCTTGCCACTCTCCTTGTCTGGGTTTCAGGAGCTGCCTGCCAACAGTGTGCTGCTGATTTACCTGTCTGCCACGGGCGTGTTTCCATCAGGTCGTTCGGATAGTGAAGGTACAATAAAGGAATGCTCCCTGTCATGAACAGGGCTTGAATTCTCTTTATGTTCCAGGACAAGTGACCAAGAAAGATGTCACAAAGCTCCTTTCAAAGACAAGTCAATTTGATTCTCCTGTCTACTTAGTAAGATAGCCTTTTTTTTCCACAAACAGTAATTAATTTTTGTGTTTTAATTAATGTGCATTAACCTGAGAACTTTTCGAAGGACACATCCAGTTTTTGATGCATCTGAAGTATTAAAAGCTTCCCTAATTGTGAAGACCACATGGCTCAGTTGATGCATCAGTGCAAAGTTCATAAAATGGCTCAGTGGCACTTTGTGATTCTTTCCAATCTCCAGCACCAGGAGATGGGGGGTGAAAGGGCTGAAGCGGCTGCAGGGACTGGTCTATTTGCACGCTCCTTAACCTGACAATTCAAGCCCTTCTCATGATTTTGACAATTCCCCTCACCTCATCCTCCTGTTCTTTGCAATCTAGCAGAATATTTGGATGCAGCTGCAATGTAAAAGCTGAAAACTGGTTGGCTAAAGTAAACACAGTCCAAAGATCTGTTTATGTAATTCAAGAAAAAATCCAAACACCTTTTTAACATCCTAAATATTGTACAAACCTCATCTGTTTGAGACTTGCATTCCTTTATAAGATGCATGCCTTGTCCTCCCCGGTGCATGATTTATAGTGCTCCCAAAATGCTAAAAGAAAAAAAATCCCTGTCAGCTTTGGGTTGTGGCAGTGATTTTTTTAAATGCTTTTAACATTTTACTTCTTGCTGCAACTTGGTGGTAGGTTCTAACTGAAGCTTGTTCTCCAAGGCCTGTGGTATGTCCACCTCACTGCATGTGTTGTTTCAGCTTAAGACCTTGTGGTAGAGGCTTCCAGGCTCAGTCACCTGAGGAGCTGCACAGTCAGAGTGCAGCTTTCATTCAGTGAATCCCATCACAACTGCAATCTTTTAATAAGGTGGTGTGGCCTGCCCACAGCTCTGCCTTATTAAAAGGGAGAGCAGCTGCAAGTTGCACTGTCCATCGCCTGCGAGCAGCTTGTGTTTGGCAGACACGTGAGATGTTTGTACCTGTGCTAAATTAATGTCTGTTCTGTTCCTGATTTTGTATCCCCAAAGCTTCCCTTAAAATGGAAAGGTGCCTTGTATCCAAACCTGAAAAAATTGCATTTGGTGGCCAAATAGGGGTCAACCAGCTCTGCAAATGTATAACAGAATGAGGAAACCCTAATACTTTATTTTACTAATGTTAGTGACATTTCATATCCATACCAATGGCAGAAATATATCTTGATATTTTGTAGGATGTGATATTTTTTGTAGCCATTGCCTTCATCTTTGCTCTCCATCAGACAGTCAGGGGGTAGCTCAGTTGTGCAAACATAGCAGAATACTTTGTTAGCTTACCATGGGAACACATGTCCAGCGTGTGTGCATGTGCAAATTGTGAATTCTGACTTTGAAATCTTAAAATACAAACCTTTGCTGCAGATTTGAAATCTGGTTAAATCTGTTTTGTCCTTTTGTCATTCTCTGAGCTCTCTCTTCTCCCCTTTGCAGTGTTATAACTGCAGATAATAATAATATGTCCATTATTTTTTATTAATTTAGCTTTATTTTTTTACCAAATTCTGAATCTGGAGTATGCAAACTGATACGGTAATTTTACAGAGGTATTGATTTCCCTGTTTCAGGTGTGTATTGGGTTTTAATCTTTTTGCTCTATAGTTTAACAAAAGCCAATATCTGTATCTTTTGTATTATGTTTGTGGATAAATAGTGAATAATTAAATTAGAAGTTATGAAGTTGAATTGCTTGCTTCTATTTGATAGATGGTGAAATTGCTGAGGAAGAATAAATGGAATATGTAGTTAGTGAAGGCTCCACGTTCCCCTCTCCCCTCCTTACAACTGCAGTAGTTCAGATTCCTTCGGTTTTCTGAGATTTGTTGTTGCTTTCTCCCTTCCATGTAATTGTTAAATCTCTCAGGGGTGAGTTGCCCCTGCTGATTTGAGCTCCTCTTTCCCCTCTGTAGGTCCATATGACTTTGGGGGTGTTCTGACAAACAGCAACCGGGACATTATCAATGGGGACGCGATCCACAAGCGAAACCAGTCCTACAAGGAGATGCACTGGTAAGTGTCACACTGGGACACCTGGGAGCTCAGAAAAATTTGTCTTCAACAGAGAAAAAGGCATCAAAGCCTCTGGAATTCAAACTCCTCAGTGCAGGACATCATAGTGGAGATTGGCTTGAAGTCGAACACTTAGAAATGAATGTTTAAATGATGATTTAAACACTTCAAAAGTATTGCTGTGACTTAATGTAAGTTCTTAATTACTGGCAAACTTCAGATTAATGACGGATGGTTTCTCAAGAAGACAAACATCTCTTGAACTAGTAACAACTCCCATAGCCCATATTATAGAGAATACCAAGTGAGTTGTGCAGTTACTCCCTGAGGATGAATCCGAGGCCTGGGGAATCTGCTTGGTTTTTATCTGGATGTGGGCAGCTGTGTGGCTGAGCAGTTCTAGTGCTCTGTGAGGTGTCCCTTTCTCTTTCCAGCCTCCACCCTGGAGATCTCTACCCTTTCACCAGAAAGCCTCTGTTCATCATCGTGGACTCTTCCAACAGCGTCGCCTATAAGGTAAGACCCTTGGAGGCAGCTCCTCGTGTGGTAGGATACAGTGCCAACCCCTAGTTAGCTTACACTTTTAACAGGCTATTTTTTTAAACAGTTTGTATTCAGTCTTTCTTTTCTTTTGAGGTTGTGCATGCTAGTCAGGATCTGACCCTATGAATAGGAACAAGAAGGAGAAGCACATGAACAGCCGCTCATTGGAAAGTAATAAATCCTCCTGGAGGGAAAAAAGGTTCAAGATTTCCAAGGTCTCTGGTGGGAGGTTTATTTTTGTTTTATACCAAAGACAAATCTCGGTGTGTGTGCATGGGGGAGGGAGATAACTAATGTGCTTTTCTTTTTTCCAGTCATCCAACACTCAGTTGCTTTTAAGCGACAGAAAGGAGTCAAAGCATTGAGCCTGATCTTATAAAACACAGGGTGTCTGTGTCTGAACCAAGGAAGTAACAAGACTCAAATTAGCATCCAGTGTTACTGTAGAGTGGTATTTGCTTGGACACTGAGCCTCCTTCCTAGGGTGCTCTGGACTTACAGTAGAATTGCTCCATGCTAAATCACCTCTGGGAATCTGCAGTTTGGGTAATACAGAAGCAAGCATTGCACTCATAGTGGCCAGTTGAATCTGCAGAGCATTACACATTTATTTTATTCATGAATGGGGTAATAAGAATGTGCTATATCTGGGGAAAGTGCCACTTCTTCTTTCTTTTTATAGCTCCATTATGTGCAGTGAGGAAAGGGAACATCCACAGCTGTGATTTTGGAGGAGGAACAGGGACGTCTAGTGGCCAGAGGAACTTGTGCCCTGTTCGGTGTCCACAGTCTGTGCTGTTTGTTTTAAAGGCATTTGTTGGCCAAGGAGAGGTACTAAATAAGTGCTCAGTGTGATTTGGGATAGTTCTGTACTGAGCCAGGGAGCTCCTGCCTGACACTCAAATCTGGCCTCTCCGTTGGGTCTTTGCTCTGTTGGACTGTAATGTGTCTCAGAGGGCTTTTTAAACATCACTGCATTTAAGTTCACCACACTAGGTTTCAGAGCAAATCTGCTTTTTTTTTTAAATTCCCTTCTCTATTTAAAGGGAGGGAAACACAATTGGAATGATTTACTTGTCTTTCTGAGAAAATGAACATTTAGTAGGGATTTATTTTCCTTTACTCTTTCCTGACATTCATTCCAGTGTAACATCAGGAGGGTTGGTTTTGTTTCAGGGCAAGAAGTGTGGCTCAGGTTTGGTTTTTTGGTTTGGTTTTTTTACCCCCTTCCTCTTTAATAGAATTGCTGAAAGATGTCAAGTGGATCAACTCTGTAAGAGAGTAAAGGATTCCTGGTCATCCTTAATTCAGATACAGACTGGGGTTCTGTGGACAGCTTAGAGCAAAGGATCTGTTTCGGGTGATGGATTTCCACACGTAGATTTGCAGCTCTTGTGAGAATAACTGTCAAGTGTTTACAGTAGAATTTTCTCTTTCTATTACATTTAAATTTGATAATTAATTTTTCTTTCAATTTGTGGGCACACAGTAAGCAAAACTGTAACCTCCACTGAGTTTCTTTTCCTTGTCCTGCAGTGAACTGACCAACAGTAGTGCAAGACCCACCAGTGCTCTGGTGTTGAGCACACAGGGCAGCTGGGGAGAGCAGTCCAGCTCTGCCTGTGTGGAAGGAGCAGAGAAATGGGAGTTTTGGAACTGCTTCAGGACAGGATTATAGAAGTGGCTGCTAGGAGCTCTGACCCAGATCAGAACCGTGTGGGCACAACTGTGAGGAGTCTAAGAAGAAATATGTTCAGCATTTCAGAAATGACATTCCACTTCCTCATCTCTTGCCCCTGAACGTAGGCAGGCAGGTGTGTGGGGACAGGTTTAGGTGTCTTGTTCTGTTTTCCACTGGAGGGACATGGCAGAGCTCTCAGTGCCAGTGTTTCCCAGCCCTGGCACACTCCTGCTGTGGCTGTGCTGTGCGTGCTGGGGTCCTTGTCCCCACCGTGCCCTGGCAGGGCTGGCGTGTGACTGTCCCTGGGTGGGCTGGGAGGGGCTTTGAGCGCTGGCACGAACAAAGAGGGTCTGTGCAACTGTGTGAGAAGCTGAAATCAGTACTGCCTTTTTTCCACATGGCTGCCCTGATCCTTGCTGATAGGACAGGAGCTATCCTGACATTTAAATGTCACTGTTGGCAGTACCGGCAGGAACAGCAACTGCTCACACATCCTTTCCTGCAGCCCGTTCCTGCTCTCCTGCACGCATCCCTGTCCTCTCCCCCTCTCTGCAGGGCTGAAATGGTGATGACTGAAAGTCAGTCCTGCCAGGAAGTGACTTGCCAGTTTGTCAAATCAGCGGCACTTGAACAGCTTCCTCCCTGTATATTTAGCTGAAAGTGGAAGATAACTGCAAATCGAGCATGTCTACTGAAAGCTGTGAATTTTTTTTAACACTTCCATTTAAATATAGATGGCTGTGTGTTCTTGAAGGTTACCACTGCATATGTGGATGAAATAATATTTTTAGATCAATATCATCCTGTAGCTGTGGTTTTCTAGGATCACAGATCGTGGTCAGATGCAAAGTCTTAAAATCAAACCAAACCAAACCCAAACCTACAGCCAGTGAGAATGCAAGGCCTTTGTCAGTGATGTGGTACAAATACTCAGCTTAGCAAAGCCTACATGTGAACTGACTTCTTTTGGGGAGTTCTTTTTTCAAAAGAGATGTACATGCATTGTAAAAAGCAGCAGTGCTTCTGTGGGAAACTTGAGAGCTGAAGTGAAAAAACAGAGTCAGTTTTGAAACAAAATATGGATTATCCTTACTGGAGTCATCCATGCACTGAAAGGTAGGGCATTCCTTATCCAGAGCTGCTGTCAACACCTGGACTGCAGGGCAGGTTTTTCTGGTGCACCTTTGGCCCTCTGCTCCCAGCCATGGCTGTAAATGCTCCGCTTCCTTTGTTCCATGTATCCCACAGCTCTTCCCTGGGGAAATGAGGAGCAGGGTGGTGGTGGTGAGTGAATCCTGGTGTTCCCCTGGGCTCAGGTAGGCAGTAGTGTGTGGGCAGGAGCTGTGGCCTGGCAGGCAGTGTCTCCTGGCTCCGTGGTGTGGGTGTAGTGGGTGGCAGGAGCTCCTCCTTCCCCAGAGCACAGCTGGGTCAGGCCGTGGAGTTTCCCCCCTGTGCAGGACTCACTGGCTGTGTTGGCTTCACCTGCTGGCACAGAGTCCAGAGTGCTCCCAGATACTGCAGGGAGTGATACCTTGCCTGAGATCCCTGAGTGACCCGGGTGTGCTGCTGGCACTGTTTAACTGCTCCTGGTCTGTAACTGAGCGATACAAGATGGAATTAAACCTCAATCTGCTCATGAAAACTGAGCGTACACGTTACTGGAGAAGGTGAAACCTGCCAGGGTGTGTCCAGTACAAACCAGCAGGTCTGGGGTGACTCCTGGAGTTGGAAATGTTTCTTTGTAGTTCAGTTTCACCAATTCCTGGGCTGGCCTGGAGTTACTGTCTACAAGAGAACAGCCTTTGTTTCTTCATTAGAGACCAAACCTTGGTATCCAGCATTATCAATCTTCCTTGGGCTCCTAATGAACTCAGAGGGTTTTTAGGACTAGTCAGCACTCTGTCAAAGATGGGACATGTTTCATTTTGATTAGACTAGATTACTGTCTTTAGTATTTAGCAGATTAGATTAAATTAATTCTATAAAACTAATTTAACTGAAATATACTGCCCGGAAGGGAGAGTTCCATTTGAATTACACAGAGGCCAGAAGGAATTAAAAAATTAGCTTTTTGAGGATTCTACACAAGCAAATACTTCTGGTGTTCTATGTCTTGCAGTCATAACCTGACAGTTTTAAGACTGTACTCTGCAGACATATGTGTGGCACTCGTGTGCTCTGGATGCAATGGTTTGAGTCTGTGCTCTGAGAGGGTGCAGACACAATCACATCTTTTATGGCTTTGCAAGCCTGCATGGTTAAGAAAGCTGTTCTGGTGACAGCTAATGAGGTTGTGTAAATGATTTTTGGCGTTTTTTCCCTTTGTGATAATGATTTACCACCAGACAGATATGCAGTAGGACTGTTATCAGGTAAATGTTGCTGAAAGTGGCCAATGGTGGTGCTTGAGGTTCTGGAGAAATCCTTGTGCAATGGGACACTTAGGCAATATTTAAGGTGCTGGTGCAGGGGGCATGAAATGAGTATCGTAAAATGAGGTTCAGTACAGCGGATATTAAGGTTATGACATACTTGTTTTAAAGGAAGCTTCTTTTAAAACTCCTCTGGGCTTTCCTGTTTCATTAGGTGTAGTTCTTCCTGCTAGAAAGAAAAGGGGAAAGAAATGACTTTGACTGGACAGTTCAGTTGGTATTGAGGGAAGATGCAAGAGCTGTTTTGACCTGAAAGCCAATGGCTTTTACTGCAGAACATGATTTTTTTTTCAAGTAACATATTAGTACTGAATATTTCCATGAAATCAGTATCTGCCATCAGTACCAGTGAAATGAGAGAATTGTAATTCCTTTAAAATGTAGTGGGTTATATTCCTTCTATGTGTGATCTGAGTAAGTGACCTTGTCAGGCTCACTGCCAATGCTGAGCTGTGCAAGGGGCATTAGTGTCTCTGTCATTAATAGGATTTGTACCCTGCTGAATATTCAAGGCAAGCAAAGTGACCATCAATACTTCAAAACTCTTATCTGTTACAGAATTTCACAAACTTATTTGGACAGCCATTGGTGTGCTTGCTTTCTCCAACAGCATATCCAAAAGCATTACAAGGTATGTGCAGTATTGCATTTCCCAAGAAGTTGCAGTTGCATCATGTACCTATCCCAAACAAATAGAACTTGGATTCCTCAGGAAAAGACACCTTTTCACTACTATGTAACCCATAAATCAGGTTGACAGTCGCTGAAGTAATATGATAAAGTTTATTTACTGTTTATGGTAAATAATTTATTCTAACCCTGATGATGTTTCTAGAGTAAGCTCCAACAAGTGGTAGGAGCAAAGCCTCTCCTACACAGAGACTGAGTAAGTTGCCATCCCAGCGCAGGGTGATGGTTTTAGCACTTTGGGCAGCTTTGTTAGGCCCAGAAAGGGAGCAGAGGCAGTTAAGGTGTCTTGGTGTTAATGCACGTCCCCAGCAAGGCTTTGTTGCCAGTCCCTGATCAGATCTGCACGAGGAAGGTGTAACTAACCCAGAGTAGCTCCTCTGTTATGGAATTTAGCGGGTGAGTGACTTCATTCTGTGGCAGGGACAGCGTTTCTGTTTCATGTGCCAAATGTATCTCTTTGTCTATTGATTTATTTTTCCTTTTAGATCAGTCTCAGCGGGGTAGCCTCTTCACACTCTTTCTGAACAATCCTTTAATGGCATTCCTGTTTGTCTCTGGATTATCAAGCATGCGCAGAGGATTGTGGGAGAAGTGTCAGGATTACCTTAGGAAAATCAACCGGGATATTGCCCAGCTGCTGACCCACTCCCGGTCCATAGGTATGGCCTCAGCAGGCACAGCTGAACCTTTTGGAAGGGTTTGTTTTTTAAGCCTTTCTAAACCGGGCATTTCTTGCCTTCTCTACAGACCAGTCCTTTCTTCAGTTTTTTGGGGATGAATTTCTTCGCCTGCTTCTCACAAGATTTATCTTCTGTTCAGCTACAATGAGGATGCACAAAATCTTCCGGGTATGGAGGGATATCTGTGCCTTTGTGGGAAGGACAGTCCAGTGCATGTAGAACTGTGCTGGCTCAGGGTGGAGGGGTCTGAGGGCTGAGCACATCCCTGTGACTTCAGAAAGATGACTGATGCTCACATGCTAATTCCTACAGCCTGCACTGAGGCTGTGCCTTTGTGTCTCTCCAAAGGCACCAAGCCTTTGACTTGCTGGAGCCTTAGCCCTGCACAGAAGTTGCAGCAGACACACTCCAGTTCGTTTATGTCACTCTGAACAGCTGTGTCTGCTAGAAAAATACATCTTAATAAGTCGAGATTATTATTTCTACACAACTAAAAAGGTGTAGGACAAGAATATAAGACGAAGTGGAGAGGAGTGGGACGTTACTGCTGAATGTGTTCTCATGTGAATGGGTTTTGAAAGGTGTTTGAAGTGTAAATGAATAAGCTCAACAGGAAGATGTATTTTTCCTCCCCGTTGGTTAAAGCTGTGCCAACAGTGAAGTCTGCTTCTGGATCTGCACCATTTTATGTGTGTGAGTGTTGGCACATAAACTGCCTGCTCCATTTTAAACACTGCAGGAAGAAATGGGAGTTGAGCACAGGAAGGGGCAGTATTCACTTGTGGAACTGCAGACATCCAGCAGCTCTCTCAGCCTCAGTCAGCTACCTGGGCCACTGATATCGGGGAAAAGAAACGTGTCTGTGGTAGTGTAGAGAGATTTGCCCCCAGTGTCTTAGGTACTTGTTTTAGGATGAGATAAATCTCCCACTGGAGATGCTTACATGTGTGTAATTTCAAGAAATGAACTCCAGCCTGATAGGTAAGCACATATGAAGTCTCTTTGTCTTTTTTTTAGTCTTTTTTTTCTTTTTTTTTTTTGCAAGGCTTCTGTGAACATACCAATAACCATCTCAGATTGTCGTGGGTATTTGTATTGCCACTGTAATGGAAACAGAAAACTGAAAATTCTAGAACATTTTCTCTCTCTACCATACTGAACAGATAGTGTGAAATTGGCCTTTTGCAATCTTCTTTGTAAAGGCTGTGAAAGAAACAAGTGTCTGATTCTCTCTGTTTTCACTGTTATCTAGCAGGAGACTCGAAATTATCCCGAATCTTACCCTCAGCTGCCAAGAGATGAAACGGTGGAGAACCCTCACCTCCAAAAGCACATTTTGGAGCTGGCTTCCATACTGGATGTTAGGAATGTTTTCCTGGAAAACACCCTCGATGACTATTAAAAGAAACTGTCTTATTGCAAAGGGGTTTCCCTGGCCACAGATTTTGAATGGTGCAGTTTTATAATGTGAAAATCATAAAAGGAAGTACTTGATTTTATTTTTAAATTTAGGACCATTATTTTAAAAAGTAATAATAAACAGCTGTTAGTTGAGCTGTTCCATTCTGTATGGGGTCAATTTTATAAGCAGAAGTTTTCATGTCTTTTAAATGTTAAACTAAAGAATCACTAGAGGTTTATTTCTGGTCTTGTGGCTGTCAACCACATTTCCAACAGCTGATCCTAAGCATAGAAGTATTATTGGTTACCTTTAGCCCACATTTGTGGAAATCCTTTATTTTTATACAATTTTAAGAAATTGGAAAGAAAAAAATCAACAGAAAAACCAATATTTTATCCCCAAAGAGTTTGGATTTGAAATGGTAAAGATGGAACCACACAGTGCAAACCAACAATAGCAATAACAGAGTCCTTCATAACAAATATATTTTTTCAGTCTTAGGCAAGTGAGGAGACAAAACTGTGGACAATTAAGTTGCATTTGGAGCAGTGGCTTTCAAGTGAAGTTGTAAAGATACTTAATGCTCCCTGTAAACTGGACACAGCAGTTTTCCATATGAACTGTGTCCTGCTGGCCAAGGACCTGGTTGGGCAGGTGGTCAAGTTACAGATGCCCAAGGCTGGCCCCCACCTCTTACTGTCCTGTGGGTCATCTTGCCATTTGTATTGCTGCCACAGGAGGACAGGGAATTCTTCATTTTGAGATACTATGTAGAAATTCTGACATTTCCAGGAGGTGTTACCCCTCCTTTCCCTGTGTGGGTGGAACGTGTGGCTCCCACTCTTTGAAAGGAGCTGAAAAGATGTCCTGTACAGTGCTGAGTACAAGCCCTTCCCATCACCCGCGTATCCAACCCCGCTGTGCTGGATCCCCGTGCCCCAGGAGAGGTGCTGATGTTCCCCTTGCAGGTTAAACCAAGTGGGAGCTGCCATAACCCCGTGGATGTTTTGCATGTCCCCCACTGCAGCTCATCCTGCCCTGGAAGCAGGAGAACCGAGGGGCTGTAACTCTGTGGCAGCACCGTTGGCTCCCCAGCCCGTACCCTCCCTGTGGGGGTGTGGAGCAGGACAGTGGCCCTTGGGGAGGTGCTGGCAGGGGAAGGCTGTTCTGGCTGCTGGCAAAAGTGCTGGCTGGCTCATTTGGGACTGTACTGCAGAGAGAGGAGCTCTGGCAGCTCCTGGCAGGGCGGGTGTGAGCAAGAAGGAGATGGAGATACTTTAAGCTATTAAATAAAAAAGTCTATTGTCACTGTTCCATGGTCTGCTAGAAAAGAAGTGGAAGGACAAGTCTGATCAGTGCTTTTTGTTGAAGCCCAGCCATGCCTCTGCGTTTAGGTAAAACCAATGCAAACTTGGTGACTGCCATGGTATCCTGGCAGGCCTGTGTGCAGTGCCATCACCCAAGGTGGGCTCTAGTCAGCCACAACAGCACTGGTGGATCCATTCAGCTGAGGGCACAGTATGGAACAGCAGGAATGGCTGGAGTGGAGCTGGGGAGTTTGCATGAAGGTTCTCTGTAGCTGGGCTGAAGCTTGCACCATCTATTCTTTATTTCCCAAGTGTACAAAATCCTGTGAATGCTCGTGTTTGTCCTAAGCAGTCTTGAAGCTGGTACCTTGAGCCCCCCCAACTTGGTGCTGCCCTTTGGACTCTGGCAGGACTTCATTTCCTGGGCTGTGGAGTTTGTTTTAACGAGTGTGTGTTTGTGTGTGTGCATGTGTGTTCTCGGCGTTTGTGTGTGTATGTACAGTACACATACATCTACTGGCTGGTGTAAATTGTAAATATGTATATATGTATAGGTACTTGTATATGTATTAAAAAGAATGAACCACTACAATGTCTATATACAAAATTTATATATACACACATACGCCATTTTGGGTGGATTCCACAAGGTGCTGCAGATCATTTTTGGTTGTAGTAAAGGTTATGGCTCTTTGCCATTGTAATTTGCTGTTTCCAGGGACTTACCCTTGGACCTTGAAGTAATTCATGACTGATTTGAGGTACAAGAGCCCTTAGTTAGCCAGGGGAATGGGTACTCCTGTATGTATTAGTGGTAAGATTCATGTATTAACTGTGAAGCTGATCTCTGCCTTCCTGCCTGGTAGGAGGTCCCCAGTTACTAAAACATGGGATTGTATGTGGAAGCTGAAGGTACAGGAAGCCTTTAATGCAGCAGGGAGTGAGAGGCGGGTTATCTGTTGCCCTGCCTGCTGTTCCTCCCCCAGCAGTGTTCAGCTTGCATGGAAAAAGGGAATTGAGTTTTCCCCAGCTCACTGCCTTCCAACCAAATGCTTTTGCTTTGCTTTAGCTTTTGCTTTTATGAAACTGTTCTCATTTTGGTTCCATCTATGTGGAAAACAGTATGCTGTTTCCAAGCATAGGAATGATTATGATGATGATTCCAGTCATGTGGGCTGGTGAACCTCTGGGACATTGCTTGTGAACTGACTGGGAAAGCCTTGGTGATCCCACCTTCATTTTAGCCAGGCTGAAGCGGGGAGTCCTTGCTTGTCACCTGAGAGGCTTCTACTCCAGTTTGCAACCCTTCAAGGAGGTTCTGTTTGCTTGTTGCCAAGGTAGATCTCATCAGAGGAAAATGCACTTTTCAAAAAAACTGAACAAAAAGCCCTGAAGAAGGTGGAATGTAGGAGGAGAATGTAGTCCTTGAAAATTAGTTCAGAAGTTGTACTTATCAGCAAAGACTTTCCAAGTCAAAAATTCATTCTCGAGGTTCCTCATTCTCCTCTTACCTGCTGATCTTTGTTAGAAGGTCCAATGCTGGCAGGGACATTCAAAGATAGAGGTTTCACTCCTGTTGTGTTGGGAGGAGTACGGAATTGTACCGTGTAAGCAAAGGGCTCTTCCCCTCTGTCTGCTCTAGCTGTAGCTAGGATGAGTGTCTGGCCTTGGATTTTGAGCCAGCCCCCTCCCTTCCTGCCCAAAGCAACTGCATCCAAGATGAAAATGTTGATATTTTCCCCTCCAAGTAAAAGCTTGTCTTGTTTGAACTAAGTCATTCTAAACTCGTGCTACTGTGTGCTCTGTGCTATGGTCGTAGGTACCTCGGTGTATGCTTGTGTGTACTGAAGAAAATCTGGTTTCTGTATCTCGCAGTCCTCAGTGTGGAAGCAAGCAAAGACTGAACCATTTTTAAGTGAGAAGAGAACAAGTCCTTTTCTTCTCAGGCCTGCTGCCTTCCCTCTTGTCTCGCTCTGCCTTTCTCCATGTATCTTTATTGCTCATATTAACGGAGAAGACTTGCCAGCACCAGGCAATGCCAAATTAAAGGGGTAAATTCTGCATGTGATACACTGAGAGGAGAAGGTGAACTGGACCAACTGTGTCCTTATGGGACTGCTCCCGCCTGGCTCCCTACTCCCTGCATGTGGTGTGCTCAGATGAATCCTGCTCCCACAGTAGGCACCTGCTCAAATTGTTTGTGCTCCTGCTCAAATTGGCTTTGGAACATCCTGCAAAGTTACTGCCATTGCCTTTTTTTGCCCTTTGACTTCTCAAAATAACAGTGACAGGGGAATGCAGGGTTATGAGTCTTTAATGCTCTGGTTTTTATTTGCTGTTGGGATGTGATGTGTCATTTTGCTTCATGCACAAGCTAAATGGAGCACTAACTTCCATGAGCTGTGCAAACGGGACTTGCTCCCTGGAGTGCTTTCTTGAGAAGTTCCAGGACATTTCTTTGAGTAGTTTGTCAAAATAATGTCTGTCAAGTCACGACTGACTAAACCTCTCAAGACTGTTCCCCAGGGAGATGTGCAGAGATGTCTTTTAAGGATCACAGGAAATAGATGGGGGCAACAGGAAATTAGGTTCCAAATAATCATCTTCAAAGGCTACAACTTGAGTAGCTCTGGTTAGGCTTCTCCCCTAAGGATGGGGTGGAAGTGCTGCTCCAAGATCCATCCCTGGCATGAGTTGGGAAGCACCTCCCCTGCCCCGCCACCTCCTGTGTGCTGTAACCGTGCTGTGCTGCAAGTCTGCTCCTTCCAGGAAGCTAAAAATCTTGGCATCTGTCTGAACAACTGTTTTGTCTTGAGGCTTCTTTTGTAAAAGCTTTATCTGTGTTCAGTTCCTCAGTCAGTGTCCGAGTGCAGCTCAGTGGTGCAGCAGCAGCAGCTGAGCCTCGCTCAGGCCTGGTGGTGCCGGGGCTGCTCCTGGGGCTGAGGGAGCTCCGCAGGCAGGAACAGTTGTATGAACAAGGGAAAAATCTAGTGTAGAGAGCTGAAAGCTGCTCTGTGCACCTCGGTAAGGTCAGGCTCTCCAGAGCAGATTATATACTCCCGAGGGGGCTCCCTTACATTGGTAATATCTGACTTTTAGAGCAATGCTGTTCTGTGACCAGATGTATTGCAAGTGCTTTGAGGATCTGGGTGTCCACTAGTGGAGCAGGGGAGGAACATATCAGACATGTAACTGCTTTAGATTTAGGAGTGCCAGTCAGCCACATCTTGTTTTCCCCTCTAAACCATTACTTTGCCAAGACAGAGGATATCTAGTTCAAGGCCTGTGAATCTGACTGACCTTTTTGGGGATTAAGGACTGTCTCTGAATTCTGCCCAGATGCACCCATAGATGTTTTATTCCCATTGGGAGCAGACCCCAGCACAGCTCCCTGGCCTGCAGGAGCCCCAGAGCAGAGCAGACCTCACCAGCCCCGTACCAGCAGCTGCTCCTTCCAGAATAAACCCTGCTGGGAGGATCTGCCCCATTGACTTCGCAGGTCGCTTTCGGCACGTGTTTATCTTTGTTTCTCCGTTGAAGTGGTTTGTAGGGAGCAGGATTCCGCCTCATGCAGGCTGAAAAGCACAAGTTGCTTCTGCCCTGGGCAAGACCCGGTGAGAAGGACGAGGGGAGCACAGGTGGGAGCGTCTGGGAGCGTTCTGGGAATGCAGAGGGACCGTGCCTCGGGCAGCACAGCTGCAGAGGTACAGCGTTTTGCCTCTCTGAGAATCAGATTATTTATTACCAAAAGTAATTTTATAGTGAATTGGTTTAAAGTTATTTTACAGCTGTGTGCCTGTATATCGTATTTTGGTAAAAACAGATATTTTCCTTGAAATATATAGAGATATATAAATAAACTTTTTTTGGAGCAAATGGACTTTTTTGCAAGGGATGTGTAATCGCCAAAGCAGCGTGATGCCAGAAGCGACTCTGCCGTTGTTCTGGGTGTCTGTGGAGGGAAGCAGCGTGTTTGTGTTGCCGCCGGACCCTGCGGGGAGGAGCAAGAGCCGCACCCGGGACCTGCCGTTTCTCGCTGTCCGAGCCACCGCCCCCGGTCCGGGCGGGTCACAGGCCGAGCTCCACCCCGCGTCCTCGCCGCCGCCTCTCCGCCTTTCCAGAGACTTTGGAGCAGATTCCCGTCCGCTTTTGTCCCCGCCGCGCCGGGGCCGCTCCCGCCCGGCGCTCGCGGTTGTGCCGTGTCCGAGCCGTTCGCTGTCCCTGGGCCGGGGCTCGGCGGCCCCTCCCCGCCCGTGTCCCGGCCCCGCCGAAGGACTGTGCTGTCAATAAACTGTGGAAAACGCTCGTACCCAGCCGCCTCGTCCGCTCCGCCGCGGGACAGCGGGAGGGCAGCAGGGAGGAGGGAGGAGAGGGGCTGAGGGAGGAGCGGGACTGAGGGAGGAGCGGAGCCAGGACTGAGGGAGGAGCGGGGCCGGGGCCGAGGGAGGAGCGGGACTGAGGGAGGAGCGGGGCCGGGACTGAGGGAGGAGCGGGGCC